TTTTTTTTCGTTTTTTTACAAAATTGAAGTAACTCACTACAAGAAATACGGCTTGACCATCTCCAACCCATTACTCCATTTTTCATTCTAAATAGAGTAACTCTATTATGGAGTAGGAATCTTTTCCAACCCATTACTCCATTTTTCACTAAAAAAAAAAATATTCTAAGTATATTATTTTTCAGTTTAATTTTTAATAGTGCTTTTAATTTATCAAAATTACATATTTTACTCAATATTTTATATTAGCACTAAGTCTTAATTGAATTCCAAGTGAAACTGACGTTAATAATGTTTTGTTGTGTAATGTAATGTTTTGAATTGAAACTAAGTTAATAACACCATCCACATTGGAGGCATTTTGTGGATGTCTCTGAATAAAAAAATATTAAAAACACACTCTTTCTTTCTTTTACTCAACTTTATACCTTCTTTTTCATCCTTTTACTCAACTTTTATTAATTTTATATTTAAACACACTCCAACTTTCATCCATTCTCTCTCCAACTTTGTCTTTTCCGAGACATCCTCTCTCCAATAATACCCACTATCTCATCTCTTTACTCAAATTTTATTAATTTTATATTTCAATACACTCCATTATTTCAACCAAAAACACTCTCTTTCTTCCTTTTACTCAACTTTTAATAATTTTATATTTAAAGACACCTATAAAAGTCTCCAATGCGGATGCTCTAATGACGTTAAAGTGTAATGGAATTGAATTAAATCACGAAGACATAATGTTTTGTTGTGTACTGTTGACAAGCAATTACGTTAATATTTTTTAATAATATGTTTTAGATATAAAAATATAATCATTTTTTTTGTCACGATAAAATATAATCATTTAAAAGTTAAAGGGTCTCTTTATAATTAAAAAAATTAACTCCAAAATAGAGAAAAAATAGATTTACTCCAAATATGAAGTAAAAAATGGGTTTACTCCATTTTGGAGTAGGGTTGGAGAGAATTTTACTCCAAATTAAATCTCATTTTGGAGTGGATTTTGGAGTGGTGTTGGAGATGCCACGTCTGTTAATATAATAGTTAGCAAACAGTACAAACAGTATTGTTTGCTAATTTTTTTTTAAGATATTCAAATCCAATATAAAAAAATATAAATGTTTGTTCTTACAACTGAGTTTTTAAAGTTAAAAGATAATTAGGCATATTCTTCTACACCAAAATTTAATTAATTTAAATATAGAGAATCTTGTTAATGTTTGTTTCTAAAACAGAAAATCTTTGAAACTAAAAAGACGGTCTTGACATATTTTTTGAAATAATCAATTACTATTTAGATTTATTGTTTCTACTATTTTTAAAAAATTCGTATTTAATGCTAACAAATTTAGTACCATGATTCATTAGCAAATTGGGGGTTTGAACTACTAATTAC